ACATGTATTGTGCATCTAACAAACCGTCTAGCAAACACGGATATCGGTAAAGACGTTTGGGAAGCAAGACTTGTCAGCATGCGGTCTTCCATTTTACTTTCGATGTGGACTCACATTGGACATTTTCCGAGGATTTCGCCCAGGGTCCACCGTATGGCGGTCCAGAGATAGCTGCATAGCCGTCGGTCAAGTTCCCTTGCAACGGCTTCCCGTGTCCGTCGACATAGGTGACCTCAGTGCCCCAAGCTTCGGCAACTCCATCGCAGCCGCTTCCGTGGGGTCAGTTGGGGGTGTAGTAATAGGGTAGAGTCGCCTCCTCTCTGAAGTTGTTGCGCAGGTTGTCCTATTCACTCTTCGTGAATCTGTGGTTGTCTCGTAGAGTAGATGCCGCGTCCGTAGCGGTTACTGGTTACTCACCCGTTGTGGGGAGGCCAGCGCTGACGCCGACCAGCGATTTTGCGCCGACTGTGTCAGGGAGCTGGAATCTGGTTGATTTTTGCATTGAACCCCAGAACATGGAACCCGCCAGATCGTGATGCGCTTGGTTTTGATTCTCGTGATATTGGGGTATCGTAAGAGACGAGTTTCCTCTTGCCGAAGTCGTAGTACCAGCCACTGGAATTAAGGTGGAGTCAGATTGATACACAATCAGTCTGAAATGAAAGCTTACCCGGGATGATCTTAAATACTATCGAACAGCGCTTTCAGCGCTTGTGCATTCGCCACCGTACACGTTGGGCATAGTGCACATAGGCCTGTCATGATCGAGGTGATAAATAAAATAACTTCTCCAGCGCCACAATGATGAGATACCATAAGATTCCGGTAGTCCAGGGTGGGGTCAGCTGGGCAACTTGTTCAAGTTTCACTGGCAGAAACTTCGGCGATGAGTGAATAGGAAAGCTCTTCTTGGCGTGTAAATGGAGACCCAAGTTCTGTTATCAGACTCGGATATGCGAGCCCTGTCAGCAAAGAGGCTAGGCCAAGCGCCTACGAGTTGGAGAATATCTGCGCGTATTAGGCGCGTATCTATAACCTTCAAGTTGCACTGTGTATGATGTACGAATATATTCGGTTTCTTTCGAGGAAGGAACACCATGGCACAAGGTTCTCATCACGTCCCGGTGGCGTTAGCACGTAGCGGCCTCATAAAGATAGAAAAGTTATATCTTGGGCACTCGAAGTCGGGTTGCCGACTTCGAATCGATCAGGGGACAGAGACGCCATGCGAACCCTGTTCATCCAAGAGTTATAAGCAGTCGACATCGATTACCCACATGTACACCCGGAGATCCCGAAGTCTGCCAGGTGGTGAGGCACCATAGACTTGAGATCTCATCCATCCCCGTCATCATAGTAAGAGTCGAGGTCAAGTCAGGTCAAGAAGTAGGCCTAGCAAGAAGATTGTGAGTCGTTTTGCCGTTACCCAACAAAGCGTCGTTTTCGGCTTCAGCAGTGCACGGGAGTCAGGGAGTTCCACTGAAAGAGCTGAGGTGGTTGCATTGTGTGCATCGAGAGCCGAGACAACTTCGAGGAATTCAAGCTTGTAAACTTCTTTTAGAGAGAGCCTTTTTGAAGCAAAGACCTAGCGAAGAAGTTCAAGCGAGGAGTACACTGGAGAGCTTCACAGAGTAACATACGAGATGCATTACGAAATGAGCGTGGGGCCCGGGGAAATGCCAGCTGAATGTCGCGTTAATTTAAATGGGCCAACAGTATACGGGTGATAAAAACGAGAACAATTTATAGTTGTGCACGACGATGAGACGAAGGAGAAACGAGACGTGAGGTGGTGGTATGCAGCAAAACGATGAAAACGACGACGTGAGTGGAGGACGGGGATGGATATATGGTGGCGATGGTGGTGTGGTAACAATTAAAGGAGGGTAGAGTAGACCATATAGATCACAAAAGAAGGGAAAGGCTTGTAAGTAGAGTGTCTGTACAGGTGGAGGAGGAGAGTTCCTTTAGGAAGCCATCGTGACTTGCTGAAAAGAGAGCAGCAGCACCGTTCCTGAGGCCTGAGGACTTTATATGCCGGGCAGGCGAGTGCGGCAGCGCTCCCTTGGTGGTGGAGAGCGCACGTCACAAACGGACTACGGCAAGGCATGATACAGCTGCACATGTATGAGTTGAAGAGTTCAGCGATAAAAAGCGTGGACGGTCGACGGTCGCGCGTACCTAGTTGTTTTCTTCATTCCACCCTTTTCGGCCCACCCAACTCCTCGATCAAACCAGGTAATATATTCCGCCCCCATCCATCTCATCACACATCCACGTAGATCAGGATGGGCTCACCCACCCCCTCGATTTCAGGTATAACGCACTTTAGATCGAACGCCTTTGCTAGGACAATCTTGAAGATCTTTTGTACGTTTATTGACGCCGACGTGGAACAGAATATCAGCGATGCGTGCATGGCTCGAGCGAACCGTTTTGCCTGGAAGTTGGGATGAGATTTCCTCAATAATTGGGAGCGTCGGGATGCTGGAAACGCACCTGCTTCGTGATTTCTTCCTGCTCGTCTCGCGGAAATGTTGCAAAGGTGTCGAATTTGGTGCCTATTAGGAAGGGGATGGCCGTCTGAGACGTGGAATCAGGATGAAAGCACACGGTGTTTAATGTGAGAGCCGATGCACAGGTCATGGAGCGCACCTTGTTGAACCCCCTCGCTTGTCGATACCACTCCTTTACCGAGTTCAGCGTTGATTTCCGCGACAAATCGAACATAAACAAAATGGCGACTGCGTCATTGCAGACTAGCGGCAGCATGTTCACAAACTCCCGCTGTCCACCCAAATCCCATATTGAAAAAGTAATGGTCGTTCGCCGTACGGAGATTGTCTTCTCCATGAAGTTGACGCCTAGGGGTGCGCCCTGTTAGCATGATGGCAGGCGTTGGTGGCGAGGAGGCGACACGCACCCAGCGTCTGGATATAGTCCTCGTCGAAACTCCCCTCCACATATTTGACCATCAGACTTGTTTTGCCTATCTGAGAGTCCCCCACCATCCCCACTTTGATAACAACACTGGTTACAAGAACAGGTCAACATTGGTCACAACTCATGCCAAACTGCGCAATGGACCCCACCTGTTCTTCTCGTCATTATTTTCCAGCGATGGGTGGGGATTCTGGCCGCTGGGACCTGCGCTGGCAGAGGGTGGTGTTGAGGTCGAGGAGGATGCAGCGTTTGACATGATGGATCAAGTGGATCACGGTCCTTCCGGATGAATTATATCACAGAGCGATGAGACCGATGCTTCAATCGTATATTGAGCAAGGGTAAATGGGTTTGGGTGGTATAGAAAGAATGCAAAGCGAGGAAGGAAAGAGGAAGAGAGAGAAAGGAAAGACGCGTTCTGAGCAGCGCTGGCGGTCGATGGAGCCCTTAGCCAAGAGGAAAACTGGCTCTCGATGCGGGACGAGCGTTTGCAGTTGAACAGTTGGCCGTCGTCGTCGTCGTCGTCGTCACACGAACCAGGCAAGACGAAACAAAGCAAATCACTGATCAATAACTCCGTTGCCACCCAATCCATTGCCAAACACTTTCTTTCCAACCACCACCAGCGACCTCAACAGACCTCAAATGAGACTACTCACAAATCGCTCTCTTAATCCTCACCTATACAGTCGCCTTTGTTTGTATTGCCACCCAAGCCCATGCATGCATCATGTTATCGATCTGTATCACCAAACACAACCGACACTCTTTGGCGACATCCAATCCTATAATTATAAATACCTCGCAGCGAGCTGGCTAGTGCTGTTCTTGAAAATCGACATCATACTACTTACTGGGATTTGAAGCATGCAAACCTCGGAAGAACCTCCCAAACTCGTGACCCGGTCGTTCTTTGGCGCACTCTGGGCTCATATATGTAGTAATTATCTAGGCCACCTCATCCTGGCCGATCATCTACAGCGAGAAAGCGGTTCAGCCTCTCGCTAGAGTTTACTGCGGGTCCATCTCACTGGTGCGTTCAATTGACGCTTGGGGAATGTCTGCTTTCGTTACGCCGCGCGTCAAAAACGGGGTCAGATAAACTTGCCACTAACGCATTTATGTTTGTGGATTGTCGTGCATTCACTCTCAACTTGTTGTCCTATCATGCGCCAGGCCTTACACAGAATATCTTGTCTCTACAAGCCAGGCGAATCAATGTTCGCTTCAATGCCATCATCTATGGCATCGTCTCCTTGTAATTGAGTACTCCAATCTTATCAATTTGTTACCATCATTTCGAACAAACAGCCAAAATCAACTATACATGGTCTCTTTCCCTGCACGTCTCTCGCTGCCCATCCCTTCAAACCCAAGCTATCATTTGCCATAAATGGAGCAGAGCTCCCAAAATTCGCTACCTGACTCTTTGCTTTCCTCTGTCGCGAATCATGCCATGCCAAGGCAAGCACCTGGTATTGTTGCAAATACCTGGTGCTTGCGCGTAAATTCTGGTGGCGGAAAATAGACCGAACGTATGTCGGAAAACCTGGGGCATAGTTAATACACTGGAACCAGCACACTTCATGTCAAACCCCCACGGCACAATCACGCCTGTGGCGGAGCAGGGTGTTGCCACCATTTTGGCTCTAAGTATATTCCGCAAAATATAACAATACACTGTTAAAGCTACTGCTGTTCTTTCTTGGGGCAGTGGCACGACGTGCTGTCCGTCAAGTTTGCGGCCAGGTCACCTTCCTATGTCGGCGAGTACTGGAGCTGCAGAGGCCTTAGATCAGACGATCGCTTGGCTGGTTAGCGGTAGAACAATGAAGAGGGAAGCCAGCTAAGATCTAATGTGGCGTTTACACTCATGACCTCGGAATCAAGAATCGGCGGCCTACAGAGTAACTATGAGGGAACAACTAAACGGCATTCAACTACCCAGGGAATACTTAGAGATACTAGAGGTAGCTAGTGTGCACACCGCATAGTCTGCGTCGTGTCAGGGAGCGTTGCGCCACTTATTCAGACGCAAGGGACGGTCCTACGACCAGGCATTAATGGGGTAGTGGTAACCTGGGTCGTTGCCATTTAAAGTTAATTTCGACCCGCCGGGGGTTCGATTCCCTCTTAATGCATTTCTTTTTGCAACCGTTCCCAGTGGTCCGGTCGTCCTGACAACGCCTTCGCCTTCAAGGCTTCATCATTGTCTCTCATCAACTTTCTCTTTCGTTCTCGTATTTGGTCCTTCAACTCTTTGGTCTGGTACTCTTACACTCTTTTGAACTTGTGCGATGGCTTTCTCTGGTGTTGGGAAGCTCAAAATTGCCGCCCATGGTACACATTGTCTATTGCAATTGCCCAATGCCATTCAGCTAAAGTTGGAACGGACCTTGATTCTGCATAGCGGCGCTTTACCTTGTGAACATCCTCGTACTGGCGTTTGCAACGCGCGTCAATAAATTCCAGGATTTCTTCTGTGAGTAATCCCTCCAAATGCAACTTCAGCTTGGTATGCTCATCCAGGGACTGGGAAAGTTATGGCCGACCTCTTTCCTTTTGGTCTCTCCATTGTTACGCTTGTTCTTTTGACCGTCACGTAAGGACATTCCTCTCACTTGTTTAGCTCATTCTCACGTGGATTATTTGACTCACAGGATCGTACTCGACTTGGCTGTCGAAAATTCATACACCGGCCGCGCGCAGTTCGAAATTGTGCACTTTGGGCTGTTAAGCATATTCTGGCTAGGTATGTACCATTCGCAATACGCTAACAGTGCTTCGATGAGGCTGAACCAGGCGATAAGCTTTCAACTCCTTCTCCACCTCCCGCTGGCGTATGATACCATTCGAATGTAATTCGATTCCAAGTCGTCAGTCTTACTTCAGAGTTGAATTTGTTTTATCCACTGAGTACTGTTCAACTTCCCACAGAATACTCTGACGAGCGCGCGTGGTGTAAAGACGTTCAGGGACTCAAAGCCCTTGTCTGGGTCGAGTTCGTATTATGTTCGTACATGCACCCTCCTCTGATGTCGACTGCCGATAACTAAACGGTGGAGTCCCTCAGGCTTTGTGACTGCACTTATGACCCTCCGATATGCCGTGACCCAGCGCAGCCTTGGCTACAAGCACATTTTCCAGATGCCGCTTTCTAGGTATCGCCCAGAACTTGCATCTCGACAGGCAGGGCGAAATAGCGAGTTTTTGCAGTTCGAGAAAGTGACATACTAGGCGTGGTCGTCAGCAGTTGTTCTTTCGAGTCACAGGCTGCCACTTTTCTTCCATTTATCAGGAAACGCGATGCCAGTTATAACCAACCTTCCCTTTCTCTGTGACATCTCGGACAATTTATACCTTTCGACTATGCCTGCTCAATACGAGTATACCCCGATTTTGTTAGGTGGCCCATAAAGTATCCTTATTTATATGTACAATAACTGACAATGGAGTTGCCAGTTCTGATTGGCGTGTTCAGCGTGATAGAGTCAAGTGTTAGCGATAGAGATATTCCGGATATTCCGCACTTCACCGGTTCACCAATGACCATGCGCAAAACTAGATGCCACCGAGAAGGCATTAGAACTATCCAGCAATTCTTTACAGTTTCGTATGGAGTCATTTCTATTTCCGGCCCCTTGACGTAGCTCTAGTCAGTTGATTCGTTCTTCCCATTATCCGGCGGCATCGAAGCCTGATCAGCTTCTCGACTCTGGAGAGGCGTCTATGGTGATCCCGTCGAGGGCTTGCCGGTGTCATCATACAGTGGCGATCTGTATAAAGCACCTGGACCATGTCATACTGGTAAACTTAAAAGACGCACGTACGAGAATGTTACTAGCCTCTGTCCTCTTACTCGGCATTGCGTGGGGACCTGGGCCGGTGCTCAGTGCAACCCCCGCCTCCCTCGTCTCGGCGGGACAACACGTCATATGGTCATATGCAGGCTTAACCCCTCCCCAACCGCTCTACACCGCCATCTCCGTAGGCCAGGTGGCCGGCATAATCTTTTTTAAGGACAACATCGGCGCCAACATTTCCAGCGTCGTCACGTCTCTCAAAAATGCAAACGCCAACTCCCCGACACAGCTGCCGCTCCTGATGATGACGGACCAGGAGGGTGGGCAGGTTAGGCGGCTGAGCGGAGAGCCGACCCAGAGTGCGAAGCAAATGTGTGCCGCTGGGACCGTGTCGAGCGGCGGGACAGGTGCAGGGCAAAATCTGAAAAGTGTGGGGATGAACGTAAATCTGGCGCCCGTCCTGGACATATATCGGGTTGCAGGCGACTTCGAGGACCAGTACGAACGGTCCTTCAGTAACGACCCTACCAAAGTGAGCTCTTGCGGAGCAAGTTTTATCACGGCACAGCAGGCAGTCGGTGTTGCAGCGAGTGCAAAGCACTTTCCGGGCCTTGGCGCGGCGGCGAGAGGAGTTAACACAGATACGCAGCCCGTTACGCTTAACCTCTCCGCTTCGGAAATTCGCAGCGTCGACGAGCTCCCCTATGTTGCTGCTATCGCGGCCGGTGTCAAACTTGTCATGCCCTCCTGGGCCATTTACCCTTCCATCGACGCATCACGTCCATCCGGCCTATCATCCACCTTCATTTACACCGAGTTACGCGGGCGATTGGGGTTCGAGGGCGTCACCATCAGCGACGCCATTGAGGCTGCGGGACTGTCGGCGTATGGGAGCGACGCAAATAGAGCAATTATCGCGTCGGAAGCGGGGATGGATTTGATCCTTGCAGCTGCAAGGGATGCCAACCAAGGGGCCGGTATCGTTACAGCGCTTGCCAACGCGTTGGATAACGGAACAGTGGACAAGAAAGCCTTTGATCGGGCGACAGCCAGGATCGCGAGTTTGAGGAAGAGTATGTCGTTTTAGTTAGATACTATCGATCATACGGCCAAGATAGTACTGCAGCCAGCCAATAGCCGTTCATGAGAGCATAATAGAAAATCTCATCGCGGAATTGTCCAGTAAAAAGTTGTACGAGTCGTTGTCGAGTCGTTGTCAAGAGCTGCTAGCAAGTGGCGTCGTCGACGCGCATAAGTACCGTCACGGTTAGATATCATCACGGTGAGTCGTTGTCAAGAGCTGCTAGCAAGTGGCGTCGTCGACGCGCATAAGTACCGTCACGGTTAGATATCATCACGGTCAAATCACGGTTAGATAATGTATTGCAATTGACCTGGTTTCCTGTTTGACAACAACGGCTTCTGATTTGATTCACTACAAGTCTTATACAGCACAGTCGCTGGCGGCGTCTCCGTTCTCTCCATCACATCTGTTTCCCCTCCTTCTCCCCCTCAGCTACATCTCACCATGTCTTGGGCGAAGCTCGGTTCAAAAAGTGCGTTTTGTCGAGTGATTACAGATCACAGAATCGGTGCGCAAACTCACGTCTGCTTTCGCGGGAAACAGAATCCAAGGACACTAAAGAGAATGGGGTCATCTCAAGATCAGTTACCCCGATACCGTCGCGCCCGACGACGCCCAAGCCGCCTGGTGGATCTGATCAGTTCAGGTCGGGCATGCTGACCATCCGCATCTTCTCCGGTATGCATGCTTCAGATGTCGTATGCGCTTCGTCTAATGCAGCCAAACAGGACGTGGACTTTCCCTTGCACCAGGCGTCCATATTCCAGATGCTATACAGAAAGCTCTCGACTCCGCGCCCCCAACTCGCAGGTCGACGAGCAACCGCGAGAGTTTGCAGCGGAAGCGCTACTGGTGGCTCCCATACGTTGTTCTCGAGTTCGACAAGAACGAGATTTTGATCGATGCGATGGGTGGAGACCTTGCAAGCCCCGTGTGGAACTACCGTGCTGACTTGTGCGTCGTCGCCCGCCTTTTGGTATCTTTCAAGCTAATCACCCCTCAGCGATGTCTCTCGTACCTCCAATATCTCAGTGTCGTCGTATTTGCGTACCACCGTCACCGGACAGGATGACATGGGTAACGACCTGCTTATGGCCCGGGTGGACCTGACCCCAATGCTTGAAGGACACGCAAGTCGCCTGCTGCCTTCTCTCAAGCTTCAATTCTCATTCGCTTCCCACAGCACGCCTCTGACCAATGGTACAACGCCACAGCCGGCTCGGGTTCCTTCCACCTCAAAATTGACTTCAAGCCTATCCGCAATGAACCCCTTACAATCGAAGCCTTTGATTTGCTCAAGGTGATAGGCAAGGGAAGCTTTGGCAAGGTCATGCAAGTCCGCAAGAAAGACACACAGCGCATCTACGCGCTCAAGACTATCCGCAAGGCGCACATCGCACAGCGGCCGGGTGAAATCACTCACATCCTTGCCGAGCGCACGGTACTTGCCCTGGTGAACAATCCCTTTATCGTCCCTCTGAAGTTCTCGTTCCAAAATCCTGATAAACTCTATCTGGTGATGTCATTTGGTACGTCCGATGTACTTATGTCTCCCGGCTTTGTGGTGCTGACGACATTGATAGTAAACGGAGGAGAACTATTCTACCACCTTCAGAGAGAGGGTAAATTTGACCAAGATCGCAGTCGTTTCTACGCGGCTGAGCTTCTTTGCGCCCTGGAGCATCTCCACGGCTTCAACGTCGTCTATCGGTAAATTCTCCACCTTCCATTGTCGTAGGTGTTTGCCTAAAGCTAAAGCCTCTTCCCACAGGGATCTTAAGCCGGAAAACATCCTACTGGATTACACTGGCCATATCGCGCTCTGCGATTTCGGTTAGACTTTATGTCCCTCAATCATTCAACACATGCTGATACTTTCGTAGGGCTATGTAAGCTAAACATGTCCGAGACAGAGAAGACCAACAGTAGGTCCAAGTAGTTTCGTTAAGGACTGCACCTTCCTTACGCTCACACAGCCTTCTGTGGCACTCCCGAATACATTGCGCCCGAGCTGCTCGAAAGCCAAGGATACACCAAGACAGTCGATTGGTGGACGCTGGGCGTACTCCTGTACGAAATGATGGTACATATCTAGTTGAACTGATGGATGCGCATAGGCTGATATTTCTTGTATTTCTTTCTTCGCGGAGACCGGACTCCCGCCGTTTTATGACGAAAATGTGAACGCGATGTACCAGCGCATCCTAACCGACCCGTTGAATTTCCCGCCTGACATGCCCTCCGAAGCAAGGAG